ATTAGGCTTTTATATTTCTAATGGTAACTTAGCTTCATTTTTTTTTTTTAATTTTTTTTTTTTTTAACGTTTATTTTACTTTTGAGACAGAGACAGAGCATGAACAGGGGAGGGTCAGAGAGAAAGGGAGACACAGAATTGGAAGCAGGCTCCAGGCTCTGAGCCATCAGCCCAGAGCCCGACGCGGGGCTCGAACCCACAGACCGTGAGATCCTGACCTGGGCTGAAGTCGGACGCTTAACCGACTGAGCCACCCAGGCGCCCCGCTTCATTTTTTTTTAATAAAAGAAGTCAGGATTATTATTTCATTTATAGGGATATTTTTGTAAAAGATCTTTTTAGGGATATATTTGTTGATCAGTTCTTGGTATCTCAACTCTTTATTTACTTCACTTTCATGATTTCCTTTAGGTTATCTTGATCCTAAGGTAATTAAGCACACAACCTGATAGTAAGGATTTTTAATTAGTACAAAAAAAATCCTGAAAGTTTTTTTAATTTTTAACTTCTACATTTTGTACTACATATGGGATTAATTTGAATTTATCTGATGCTGAGCATGGTTTGTTAGAAATCCAGCATTGAGGCTTAAGTTTCATACTTCAGTTTTTATTTTCTAAAAGCTCTGAGATCATAGTACCTTTTTCTCATTGTTTGAATTAGAAATGATAGATAAAAATTTGATTTTCATCAGAACTAAGTAATGAAGTATCTTTTATTAGAATTTTGATTATTGGAATTATATGGAAAAAATTCTTTTTTTTTAGTTATCACTTAACTGAGTTTTTTACTGCTGAGCCAAAATAAAATTAGGTTAAAGCATGTTTTCCTTTTCCTTTTTTTCTAGTGAAAAGTATAATTAGAAATAGCAGTGGTAGAAACCATGCATTTATATCAGGATGCTTGAAATTTATTAGTATTAGAGGAGTAGTAATCTATGTGTATATAGAGACTTAAAAGTGGACATCTCCCAATTTAAGAAAAGATCTCTGGTTTTCATAATAATAGTGCTAAATCTAAATACTTCAGTTAAAAATTGTGCAAACCACAGCACTAGGAAATAATATATATATCATGGGAGAATACTGCCACCTTGTGTATACATGATGCTACATTATGTCTCCATTTTCTTTTGTTATGCCAGCTAAAACAAAGTGCTTCTTCACCATTTGGTACTGTGGTCAGATATGTAAATGGGTAAAACATTTGTTTTATTTTTTTCGTGTAACAAAATCAAACGGACTTATCTTTTTTCTTGGCAGGAGGAAGGGTCTTATATTTTGAAGACCTTAAATTTAGTGTAAAGTTAGCTCTAAGAATTGGAAAGTCTGAGGGATCAGTCTGGTTAATTGATCTTTGGGGTCAGTAGAAAATTGAATCTTTTTAATTGAATCTTATGGAATGTTGATATTTCTTTGATCATTCCTCATTTTAGTGCTTGCCATGGTTTTGGGATCATTATTCTGAATGCCAGAATTTATATACTATACATAAAGGAAGTGAGGGCACTGGGGTTCCTGACGTCACCATAGTCCTTGATTTTCAAATGTTTCGCTTAAGATCAAGTGCAGAAGAATGGCTATAATAATAACATGTAATAGTGCTTTGAAAAATATTGATGTCAAGGAAAAAGGGTTCCTTTAAATCATTTTGGTTACTTGAGGGCATGATTTGGTGGGTTTAAGACATTACCTTTCTAAAGAGGAAGAGTCACAAGACTGGGTGTTCACTTTCTGATGCTTACAACTAGCTTAGCTGTGTAATCATGAGAACTTCTCTGGGCACAAGTTTCTTCATTTGAAAAATGAGCAGTTGAACTAGGTGATTTCTCAGGATCTTTTTTTTTAGTTTTAGAATTCTGTGATTGTGTGAGGTTTTACTTTTAACTTTTTTAAAATGTTAATGCTATAATGCCCTTCAAGTTACTCATTATATTTTCTGTATAAGAAGTTATTTTGAAAGTTTAATGTAATCACATAGTTGTGTTTAACGGTCATAGAATATATTAGTAATTTGAAGGGATACCTGTGTACAAAAGTTTAAAACCAGAAGCCCGGGAAATTCACCTACTTTTTTATTTAACACATGGGGTACTTGAAGATATCAGAAGATTGATTTTGGGGTAACCTAGATTTTAAATATATACTATTTTAAGCAACATAACACTGTTTTGGGAGTGTGGGGGGTACAAATGGATTCCAAATGCTTACATTTCAACTTCTGGGATGGCTCTAAAAGTTGTTACAAATATGGTAAGCCCATATCATGGGCAGAATTTTCTAATTGAGACGAAAAGAGAGAAAAAAGTAGCTTTAGCCTATAGTTGAAAACTTGGGAATTCTTTAGGATATTACCCAACTGAAAATTTAAGGCCAGTGATTCTTCAGAATGTAAATCTTTTCATTTTTGAGTGCACAGCAGCAGATATTTCCTGCTTCCCTTGATTCATTTTTCTTGTGCAGTGCCAAGAGTGAACACATGTAGTCAGGTTTTGCTTTTTACTTTGAGGCCATATGGGAATAATTGTTTAAAATTCTACACATAATTTTAAGGCAAAGGATTCTCATTGTTAAGTTATGTAAACATGCCAAATTTAACATCTGTACTGGAATGATTTCCCAGTGCCTACTGATTGTAATACCAAAGCAAAAGAACTATATTGGTATTTTTGCATTTATTTTGTGTAACACCAAACTGTTGTTTTATAGAATACAGCCTTCATGACAAATGTTTAAATTCAGTATTAAAATGCATTTCAGAAATGAAAATTTGTGCACATATTATAAAACATTAAAGATATTACTTGGGTGCCTGTGTGGCTCAGTTGGTTAGGCCGCTGACTTCGGCTCAGGTCATGATCTCGCAGTTTGTGAGCTCGAGCCCCGCGTTGGGCTCTGTGCTGACAGCTCAGAGCCTGGAGCCTACTTCAGATTCTGTTCTCCCCCTCTCTCTACCCCTCCCTTGCTCACGCTCTGTGTCTCTCTGTCTCTCAATAATAAATAAATGTTTACAAAAATTACAAAAAAACATTAAAGATGTTAATTAAAATGTACATATATATCATCTTCATGTAAATTATTATGGAAATATAATAAAATATTAAGTGAATTATATTTCATAAAAGTGAAGAGAATTATGAAAAAAGTAAAGCAGATGATATCTTATTCAGTTTTTAGAAAATGTAATCTTAAGAAAATGGGTATGTTAGTGGTGATATTAGCCATGAGGTTTTTCTGTAGAGATTTTTCCAAAGCTTTCTTCCATAACCTCCCTCTACAATGAGGAATGTGAAATTAGAAGAAAATATTGGGCAACAGTTCATAACAGGCTCATCTACAAATCCAGTCTCTGGATTGATATTCTTGAGATATTTTTGAATAGTTTGTTTTTATATAGGGACTATAGTTTTTATTGATAGCAACTTTAGTTTTAACGAGATTATGCCTGGTCTCTAATTTTCTTAATCTTATGTATGACCTTTACTTGGTTCAGTTTTGTTATGTTGGTGTTCTACTTGTTTGAAAAGCCTTTGAATTGGATGAAGAATTATGATTGTAATAAAAAATTTGCTTGTCAGTTGTCATTTTCTTCTTCCTTGGGAATTATAGAGAATTAAAATGCTTTCTAATGAGTAAATCTTTGTTATTTTGACATTAAAAAAACTGAGATATAATTGACATGTAATTAATTTCAGGTATACCACATAATGACTCAAAATCTGTATATATTGTGAAATTATCACCACAGTAAGTCTGGTTAACATCCATCACCACACATATTTACAGGTTTTTTCTTGTGATGTAGTTTGAAATTTTATTTTTTTTTAATTAAAAAACATTTTTAATGTTTATTTATTTATTTATTTATTTTGTTTATTTTTGAGAGAGAGAAAAAGACAGTGCAAGTGAGGGAAGGGCAGAGAGAGAGGGACACAAAATCTGAAGCAAAATCTGAGCTCCAGGCTCTGAGCTGTCAGCACAGAGCCCGATGTGGGACTCAAACCCACGAACCGTGAGATCATGGCCTGAGCTGAAGTCAGACGCTTAAGGGACTGAGCCACCACCCAGGCACCCCTATTTTGAAATTTTAATGCAGCAAATAATTTCTGTGTAGAGAAGAGTTTTCTTTTCTTCATCATAGACTGCATAATTGAATTTGCAATAAGATTTGTTATCAGTTTTGAAATAACTGCCCAGATATACTAGGGCACCATGCTAAAACACAGCATTAATAATAAATGCTGACAGAGTACTTCAGTACTTCAGTGTGGTTGCTTATTGTGTTCTGCACAGGTCCAGATCTTATGTAATGTTCAGAATTGAATCAATTATTGATTTGGATGAAAATGCTTTTTAAGACAATGAAATTCAAAATACCATATTGTTTTGGAATACTAAAAACTGGTATAGTCATTAACTGTTAAATTAATATGTAGGTCAAGGTAGAGATTGGTGGTTACATGGAAATTGAAGGATTTAGAATGTTTGTAAACACATCTCAGATTTTTTTATATACTTTATTAAGTGTCTACTACTAGTAGTGCCATTACTAGTGAACTTATTCTGTAAATTGATCTTTTCAATATAGAAGATTAATAATTGTGATTTTTCTAATATGTGCAAAAATTTGTTTCCTATTCAAGTGAGTTTTATTTTAATTGCAGAATTTTTTAGACTGTCCTATTATGTAAACTAATAACATGTACAACATGAAGCATATTTGTACTCTAATTATATTTTTCTCCCTTGTTCCTTCTTTTTCCTTTGAATTCATTAAATTTAGTTGTTGCCCTTTGTGAAGCAGGTGCTGCTCATCAGAATGATTCTGTATTTGAAATATTAATACATGGACATTTTGATGCATATTCATTCTATTTAAACTGATATACTGTTAGTGGGATCAGGTCTTTTAAATGATTGTGAAAGTTAATATCAATGATATACTATTCAGTTTTGAGATATTTAATGTAGTCTAATTTATGGATTTTTTTTTATTATTAGGCAAGAAGTTATGAAATGGAATGGATGGGGATATAATGATTCCAAGTTCTTCTTCAATAAGAAAGGCCAAGTTGAGTTGACTGGGAAAAGGTAACTGGTTGGTTTATTCTTTTCCTTTTTTTCCTCTTTCTTTCTATAAAAAATTTTAAACATAAATAACAAATGTATGTCATGTTAAATAACATACATAGGATAATATAATGACTCCTCCCTCGATTTAAAGTTATCAACATTTTGGGGTGCTATCAACATGTTGACATAATTGCTCCTTCTTTTTTTGGTAGTAAATTCCGTTGTGTCACTTCTAAATATTTACATATGTCTCCTTTGAAAGTGTAAGGATCTAATATTAGCTAATCATAATAATATCATTATCATATTTCCCAAAATAAGACAATTTTATAATATCTGATTATCCAGTCCACATTTCCCCTGATATCTAAAAAAATGCCATTTTATAGGTAGGTAGTTTGAATCAGGATCCCAAAAATGACTATAATCATCCTACCACCCAATTTCCATGCCACTGACTTGTTCAAAGTAACTCCCAGTTTAAGACTGGGAATTTAGGGGCACCTGGGTGGCTCAGTCAGTTAAGTGTCTGACTCTTGGTTTCAGCTCAGGTCATGATCTCGTGGTTTTGTGAGTTCAAGCCTTATGTCAAGCTCTGGTTGGAATTCTCTCTCTCCCTCTCTCTCTGCCCCTCCCCCACTTGCACTGTCTCTGTCTCTCTCAAAATAAGTAAACTTAAAAAATTTTTTTAAAAAGACTGGGAATTTACTTTTGGGTGTGGGTTATTATGGATGGTGAACAATTTTAGGTCTTTGTGAGTATAAATTGTATTTTTAAAATTAATTTTCTGAGACACATTAGGGAAGAAGTGGTGAAGAAAGAACAATCATTTGTGTGATAACTTTCACATTTCTGAAATGTTTTTGGGAATGTGTTGATAAGAATTCTAAAGAATATTTGTATTGTTACTGTTCCAGATGCAGACAGAATTGTAAAGTAAGTTCTTAGTTGATTTTAAGAACCAATCCTGCCAAAGCTGGTATTTTGGGTTTGTCTGTTGAAATCGTTTTGGAAGGACAGTGAGTATAAACACGTAAGATTTGAATGCTGGCTCTATAAATTAAAAATTGAGAGTAGGTAAAAAATAGGATCAGATTTTTTTTAAATCTGTTCCAGGATTGTGTTTTGACTTAAAATCTATTGGGGATTAATATGATTAGGTTAATATTCTTAAAACTTACATGGTATGTCAATATATTGAAATACTAGTGAGAAATGTTTTATTCCTTTGGAGAAATTCTTTTTCTTTGCAACATAATCATTCCAGTTTTCTGACTTGAACATACTTTGTAACTGAACAAAACCTCGGGAGTAGTAATTAGGAACTAATTGTAATGAAGGTGTGAAATGTACATTTGACACTTGCTTTTTTTTTTTAAATTTTTTTTTCAAGCGTTTATTTTATTTTGGGACAGAGAGAGACCAGGGCAGCATGGAGGGAGGTCAGAGAGAAGAGGGGCACAGGTGAACAGGCTCCAGGCTCTGAGCCATCCAGAGTGACGGGAGGCTCAAACCTCCGCAGTCTTGGTCGTGACCTGGCTGAAGTCGGATGCTTAACCGACTGCGCCACCCAGGCGCCCCGACACTTGCTTTTTAATAGGAAAAATAAATATTATACGTATTCTCATTCCCATCTTTAAGTTTGACTGGGAAGCATATTGGTGGAGGCTTAGTTAAGAAATTGTATAATTCGGGTAGGAGGAATTTCTGGTTAAAATTAAATTTACCAGTGTTCTAAATGTTGAACGTCCCACGTTTTAAATAGAATAATGTCTAATACAGAAACTTATCAGTGTAGAAGCTGGTTTTGCCAAATCTTCTGAGGAGAAAAGAAATCTTCTGAACTTAGAAAATCAACTTCCTCTCCTTTCAGATACTGTCCTCATTTCTTCCTTTCTTTGGATCTTGAGAGAATAGCATCTTTATTTTATGGGAGGGGGCAAATAGTCCCTTATGCACAGTGCTGTTGAAAGCATTAGACACTTACTTCTGTAGGGTACTGTAGGCCATTTAGTGGTTTGTGTTGGAAGCGTATGTGTTTGAAATGAATGATGAGTCACAGAAAATATCTCAAGTAATTACATTTTTGTAGTGCCATGGGTTCAGAATCTGGTTCTTATTTCTGGTGTTCTGACACTTGATTTGTCAGTTTTCACAGAGAGGATCAGGTTTTAGAGGTCTGACATGTGCCACACTCATGGTACACTCATTGAAAACATTAGAACCCAGTGTATTTATTCCTGGTTAGATTATTCCTTTTTCAGTGTGTAGAGCACTTGTTAATGCCCTTTCTGATTTTAAGATATATAGAATACAAAATTTGTAATTCAGATGTTGTTCAGAGAGCATAGATTAAGAGCAAAGGAGATTCAGTGGTCTTAAGAGAGATTTTTATCCAGGTTGTAATAGAACCGGAGAATTTTATATGTTTGGCTTGAGACTTTGGAAGATTGCTGCTGCTGCCATTCTAACCAGAATGAGTTCCTTAAAGGCCTCATTTCTTTGTATTAACTCCTGAGTTGGGTCCAGTGGGAGAAAGGGGAATAGAATGGGGTGCATCCAACTGGCAGAGCCTAGAAGGGAGACCAGTAAAGTAGATATCAGGTACATTTGCTTTAGTGGAAGGTAGCCTTTGCTCCTCACCACGACTCATCCGGAGGGTAGCTCTCCAAATACAGAAATGGAATTTAAATGCTCTAGGATTAAATATGTACTACATAAACTATTTAATAACTAAAGCCAATAACTAAATAATATTCAGTTCCCATTTTAGTGCTGCCAGAAGTACCATTACCACAGAGGATAATAACTGGATTGAATTGGATCATAGCTTTCTGTTAACCTAGTCTAGTTTCCTGGGGATAATGGTTGAATTAGTAGATTTCTCTGATTTGTATCAGAAAACATTTAAAAACATTCTTAAAGATAATAATAGCTATTTCTTAATTGAATGGCTACTGAATTATCTTAAAATAACCCTAAGATGGGTAGTCATATTTTCTTAAAAATAATTAGGGGATTGAGGGTGAGAGAGGTTAAATAGCTTACGTGAGGTCACCTGCTCAGTGGAAAGTTGTGAGTGATACCCAAATGTTTTTAAGCTTCATTCTTGTGCCGTTTCTGTTGTATTGTGCTTCTGCAGATAACCATACTCATTCATTGTATTGAGCTTGTTTTCTCTCCAAACTCTGGGAGCACTTTATGGTAGCCTTCTCTACCCCTATACAGTAGCACAGTAAAGCTAGTCATCTTGTAAAAAATTACCCTGTGACAAAAATTGCTGTTGTTCTAGTGGAAGTTGCTCTAGTGGAGCACTTTATGGTAGCCTTCTCTACCCCTATACAGTAGCACAGTAAGGCTAGTCATCTTGTAAAAAATTACCCTGTGACAAAAATTGCTGTTGTTCTAATGGAAGGCAAAAGAAGGTTGTGATATTCTTCAAAGAGAAAATGGAATTTGTGATTAGAAAGGATGAGTTATAAGAAAATACTGATTTGAACTGAACAAATCTTTGCTCTCTATAACTGCATAGAAAACATGAATAAAATACCCAAGAATGAAATAAAACAGAGCTGGGGAAAAAGAATTCTTAGGTGCCAGAAACCAAGAGTGAGTTTTAATGAAAATTTATGGGATTCCATTTCCATTATTTCTGATCCAAATAAATTTTTATAAGCAAATGTGGTTGATTGTATGTAGTTTGGGGAGGGCAACATTGACATTTCAAACCCAGCCAAAGAAGCAATTATTATAAGCTGTTCTAGATCTTTGGGAAATATCAGAAGTTTTTTCCTGAACACAGTCTTATCTTTTGAACATATTTGTAATTTGTCAGTTTATAAATCCTTAGGTTTTTTTTTTGTTTTTTTTTTTTTTTTTTTAAGTTTATTTATTTATGTGGCAGGGGGGTCAGAGAGAGAGGGAGAGAGAGGAAATCCCAAGCAGGCTTTGCGCTGTTAGCACAGAACTCCATGCGGGACTCGAACTCACTAACCATAAGGTCATGACCTGAGCCAAAATCAAGAGTCTGAGGCTTAACTGACTGAGCCACCCAGGCACCCCTAAATCCTTAGATTTATAATCTTGCTATTCTTACTCCTTCTAGATATAGATGAATTGAGTCCTCATGGGTTTAATCAGCAGAAGGCAATACTTAAGAGCTAATGCTGTAGCTTTCTACAAACTAAAATTTTTGAAAAGTGTCATTTTTCTTGGACTTTAAAGGTATTATACATTAATTGGTGCTTACAAAGCACAAGTTAGTGTTTAGATGGAGAGACTTTGTTTGGGTTTGTTGTACTTTATATTTTCAGTGGTATTAAAGTTTTATCTGATTATAAAATACTTTTAAATTGCTTAGCAATTGTGGAACTTACTCTGGGATAGATAGTTGTGTGTACTAATATTTTGCTGCCTCTGTGCACTGCCGCAGAGTGAGAGGACTTTGTCTTTAGTCACAGTAAATCTTGATGTGCACTTCATTCTTGGATATTTATGTTCACAGAATTTTCTTTCCACACAGTGATTTCTTTGGTCTTAAAAGCTTCCCCTGGTTCTATATCTTCTACAATATAGGTCAGTTCTGTCCTGAGGAAAGGTGGTGAGTTGATCTCACCTTATATTTTACAACAAGAACTATTTCTTTTTTTTTTTTT